TCTTAGAGTGTCTTCCAGCGTTAGAAGCTTGCGTTTCTTCATGGGCAGAGCGACACAGATTGACATTTGCCTTTCTGGCATACGTGTCGACACGAATGTGTTTTAAGATTGTGCTCCCTCGCTACTCTCGTGCACAGAGGTCCGTTTCGTTTCCTCAGATACTACCACTTTGGTGCACAGATTGGATACAATTCATCTCACGTTATTAATAGTCCAATTATGATAACTCCTGTTATAATGTTATTGCTATACGCGTGTTCTGATTACGCGGCGCCCTGCTAGCTTTAATCATAAGGGCACCACGCAAGCACGGCACGGCATGCACACGCACACACCGCACACATACAACACGCACACGCACACATACACACGCACACGCACACACACGCATGCACACGCACAACATACACACGCACACCACACATAGCACACGCACACGCGACGCATGACAACGCCACACGTACCATTGCACACGCACGAGTGGCACACGTAGCCTGTGGCCCGGTCGCCACCCAGGGCCCCGCCTGACTCTGCACCCCAACAGCACCGCGCTGAGCCTTGATTACTTTACCTTGCCGCCCAAAACCGGGGGAGAAAGAGATCGCATAACTGGTACCGAAACCGGCTTACATGTTTGCACTTCCCTGTTTGCGTAACCCCGGTGGGAAATGGCAAACTCCTAATTCCTTTGATCAAAACGTTGCTAGCACTTTGTAAACTTCTATTCGTTGTTTAATTTAAAGGCAAAACTTAAAACCGCAAGTGCGAAAAACTAATTAAAGGCTAATGGGTTGCCCGTTTGTTAAATCCCACAGCCGCACTCCGTACACCACAAACTATATAGACCCGCTGCTCGCCGAGGCCCATACTTAGTTATCGTGAACGCACGCCACGCACACACACACACACATCACGTACAGACGCGCGTTGCAACACACTCCCGCACACCACGCACGCACGCACACAACGCGCGCACGCATTACAAGCGTTTTGAGCTGCATACGATATTAGCGTGGCGTTTAGTGTACTTCGGTTGAGCGGCGTGCGATAGCAATGTGCTTGTGATGAGTTATTACATGACAATCTTTAGCAAGACTTCCCGCCAAAGAGAATAAACGTTGATCCGTTATTAAGCATTATTTGAAATATACCCGGAGAAAAACCAGTCGCAGCCCTGTCGCTAGGGCCTCTAATGCAATGACAAATTAAAGGAATTCTCTACAAGCTCTTCCTCGCCTTGTACTTGGCAATACTAAGCAAAACCGCGGGTTTTATCATCTTCTGCCATAGAATCCATATTTTCAACAAAAGCACATCTGCTTGAACTGTTAAGTCAAAATGGCGCTTATAATGTCTGAGCCTCGATTTTCGCTGCCAGATATGTCACGTGATCGTTTTAGCGCGAATATTATTATCAGCCATGTCCGACTCGCTGAGAGTTAGTAATCTCTGAAAGGATTTGGCCGAATTTTATGAAAAATAAAAAAAGTTATAGGCCATTTATATATCTGGAAGCCTCGATTTTCGTGCTCCAGATATGTCACGTGTTGTTTTAGGGGAATATTATGGGCTATCCATGTCCCAACTCCCTGAGGTGAGAATCGCTTGAAAGTTTGAGCCGAATTTTATGAAAATAAAAAAAGTTTAGCCATTTATATATCAGAGCCTTCCGTTTTCATGTGAAAAATGGGGTTGTTTCTAAACACCCCCTAAAATAGCCCGGTGCCAAGTTCAATGTTGCCA